CAAGAAGCACCGATGAGCTAGAAGGGATCAGGGAGAGGGATGAAGATGGCCTCAAGGGGCACCTGATGGTGTCCACAGCAGTGACAGGCCGTCAGGCTGAGGGTATGCAGAAGAGGGTCCCTGCCTCTGTCCTTCCAGCTCTTACTCTTGACCTACTCATCTATGTAGTTTCCCTTTTCCTTTCAAAGAAGGACCCTTTCAGCTCACACTCTGGATTGTAAACACAAAGATGGTAAACAAAATGGGCTCCTGTGTGGCTCAGTTGGTTAAGCGTCTGCCTTCAGCTCAGGTCATGATCCCGGGGTCCTGGGATTGAGCCCCAAGACAGGCTCCCTGCTCAGTGGAGAGCCTCCTTCTCCCTACTGCTCATGCTCTCTTTCTCCCTCCCAAATAAATAAATAAATAAATAAAATCTTTGGGGAAAAAAAGAAGATAAAAAGAATACCTATTACAAATGTTCTATGGATGGGGCCGCCCCGGTGGCTCAGCGGTTTAGCACCGCTTTCAGTCCAGGGTGTGATCCTTGAGACCCGGGATTGAGTCTCACGTCGGGCTCTCTGCATGGAGCCTGCTTCTCCCTCTGCCTGTGTCTCTGCCTCTCTCTCTCTGTGTGTGTGTCTCTCATGAATAAATAAATAAAATCTTCAAAAAAAATGTTCTATGGATGGACTTTTATCATACTACTCACAACTGCCTTTAATTTAGGCCACAGGCTTCCAACTGAGAAAAATGCAATGCGTTTGGCTCCATACTTTCTCTAGCCAACCTCAGCTGTGCTTTTAGAACAAGATCAAGGCAACGGGGAGAGGATCTTTCTAGTTGATGACCCTAGGCGACCAATAAAAGAAAGTGCTATTTACTTACTATATGCTAAGTACTACACTCACAACTTTTTAACATATTATTTTCTTTCATTCTCAACTTTGAGAGGTTAACAGTATCTCCACTCATACAACTGAAAGATGGATAAACAAAGAGGGGATGATTTACTTTTCATATATTCAGTCAGCCGGCTGGTAATTAGAGAACCAGGATGGATTGCCAGGCCAGACTCTAAATTCTCTTTCCAACATATTGCAGTGTCTGCAGAACTGTGAAGAGCTAGGTAGGCTTTCTCATGAAAGCATACACATGCACAGGTGGACAGGGAAGTCAGGAAGCTGTGGCTAAATGAGAACGGCACATCTGTACACGCCGCTGAGGCTACCAATCTGCACAGGAGTAAGGAGGCAAAAAGCAGCAGGACAGTCCCAACTGTGAGAAAAGGGAAAAAGCGGGTCAGAAATGTTTTGTGGCCAGAGCCCAGGAGTTTATGGGCTGGCCTGAGAGGATAGAGGTTGCCAGAAAGGCAGGGTCAACCATGAGCCAAGAGGGACCTGCCCAGGGCTTGAACAGGAAAGGTCTTTCCAAGATGCCAAAAGGGTGGAGAGGAGAGGACGCCACTGGGGTCTCAAGGGTGGAAGCTGAGGTTGCTGGACAGATGCCCACATACCTGGAGGGGCAAGCAGAAGAGGGGCTGACTGTGGGGGCAGGCAGGGTGGTCCTACAGAGCCTCTTCAGAGAGCTGAGCCATGGGCAGGCCTGCCCTGGACTGGACGCTGCTGGGCCGTGCTGAGACACAGCTGTATACAGGTGGTTCTAAGGCGGAGATTCTCAAGGGTGGGCTTGAAAAGGAAACGCGGTAGGGAGAACTTGGATATCTGTGTGTTTTAAAACTGTCAAATGATTCAAGTTCAATTCTGAGAAATGTATGTGTACGTAATGCTGGATGAACCAAAAGGCTTCAGCCCAATTCAGGAAGCATTTGCTGGAAGCCTTAGAGAACAAAGATGACCAACCCCCAGCCAAGAAACTCAATGTGAAGGAAGGAAACTGGATAAAGAAATCACAGTGATCATAATAGGGATAGACAGGCTTATGCACAGAGAATTATAGAAACACAGAAGAAGAGTCTTTAACTCTGAAGGAGTTTAAAAGGCTTCCTGGAGGAGGAGACCTATAAGCTCACCCTAAGTCTGCTTATACCAGCTTTCAAAGAGGAAGAGAAATCCATATATGCTAAGGGGTACAGTCTGTCCAGAAGAGATCTCCCCTCCTTTCGTCCTCCAGAGATGGCAATCAGAGGCTAATGCTGCTAAATGGACAAGGGTCTGTTTCTACTGTGGGAAATCTGGGAATACTCCAAAGGTGCTAGAGAAAAGAACAAGTCTGAAGACTTGTGCAGAGAAAACTGGCGAACACCTACATCAAAACCATTAATCCACTTGTCACCATCAGGAAAATTAAGAAAATGTGTTTCTGCCTAGCTGGATGCCAGCCACACCTGCCTATCATGTTGACGTGTGATAGAATAAAGGCCTAGCCAGTGATGTGCTGCTAAATGCTTACAACTGGTTCTGAGGGGAAAAAAAAAACAAACCCTGATTTCTAAGGTTTGCCAGTTTTCATGGCGCAGTACTTCCACTGTGGCCAACTTCAAGTTACCAATCTGACTGAATCTGTCACCGAATATGGAGCTGGGAAGAAATGCACAGACCTGGCTTTGCAAGCTGGTACACACCACTGGGTCAATCATGAGTCTTAAAACCCTAGGTCATTTCCAAGGATCCCTGGAGAAAAGCCACAGCATTCCTGCAGTGAGTGAGTGAGTGAGTGAGTGAGTGTGTGTGTATGTGTGTGTGGGGGGGATGCAGAGAGAAGAAGATAAGGCACAATGATGACACGACTAAAAACTAGTATCACTAAATTAATCAATGCACAAAAATTAGAGGTCATGACAAAAAAGTTCGAACATCTCAGAAAGAAATAAAATTAACAAATAAACCTAATGAAAACCAATTTGCCTATCCAGGAACACTTTCTGGGTAAATGTTCATCTTTCCCGATCTCAGCTCTTAACCCATAGCATTGATCTCTGAATCAAAAAGACAATCGTGTTCTTATTTCCTTATTTCTTATTTGCTATAACCTTATCTTCCTCCCACAAACATTTTAGATAGGATGCATTCATTCTAGTTATCCATCAAGGTCTCAGTTAGTTTCAAAGGCTAAAGAAAGCCAAGCCATTGGGGTACTTTCCCCCATCACGACTTTCATCAAACAACACACTAGACATCTGTACTGTCCTTTTAGAGACTGGTTCTTGAAACTGTGGATCAGAATCCCCTGCAGGGCTTGTGAAAAGGGATTGCCAGGCCCTACCCCCAGACTTTCTGATTCAGTTCATCTGGAGTGGGGTCCCAGAATCTGCATTTCTAGCAACTTCCTAGGTGATGCCAAAACTGCTGGTCCTGGGACCACATTTTGAAGTTTTGGATCATTGCTATCAAGTCCCCTTTCTTGAGGAAACCGCAATGCCCTCCTTCCCTGAACAGCCATGTTAGTGTGCAGACAGCAAGAGATGTGACACATGTCCCGTGGTCTGCCGATCACTTCCATACATGCACCTGTTTCCATGTATGCACCTTCCATACAAGCACCATGTGTGGCTTGCTGTTACAGCCAAGTGTTACAGAGCAAACAGAGTTACTGGATGTTGAAGCGTGTGGGCTGTTTCAATAGGGTCCTTAGGATCCTCAGTTGCTACTTCTGTTATGTCATATTTTATCCAATCACATGCGGTGGGCTGGATGAGCAGCATGGCCCCATCTTAAATTCAGGAAGCTTCGGGCCGAGAGGGTCTTGACTTGCCCTTGTTGGGCTCTCCACATTATACGGAGCTTCACCTCCTTTGCATTCCATTTCTGGTGAAGGGAGCGGAGGTCCACTGAGACCAAAGTCAGGCAGGAGGAGCTCACAGAGCCTGACAGCAAACCAGGTCATCACCAGAGTCCTACCTTTCCTTAAGGACCCCCAGCCCCCAACCTAACTGGCCCTGAATGCTGTGTTTTTGGAATTCCTATGTCTCACTGATTACTATAGTTTTCCTTTGCACTCTTGCTTTCATACTTGCAAGCATCACTGCTCGCATGCAGGCACGCCCCCACCAGCTCCACTGCCAGTCTCACGCCTGCTCAGAACTGGGTAACAGTGCCCTTGGGACACCAGCTGTCATCCAGCAACCAGGTAAGGGAGTCGCCTGCCATCAGGTTGCAGTTCCAGAAGACACGAGGGCATGGCATGCACCCACGGTCTGGTGGGTCCTGGCACCTTATAGTCCTCACAAAGACCTGCACCCACATCTGTCTTACTTTGGCATAGAGAGCCTGGTTTGGCAAGGCTCCTCAGGGCAATGCCAACCCTGTGTTCTACTCAAGAAATCAGTTCAGAATTCAGTCCTGTATGTTCAAACCACTTATCCCTTTATCCAAGATATGGGCTGGGTAAGCAACTATTCTGAAAAGCCCATCCCCCTACAGTTGGGAGAAATCTCCTCAAAGTACATACTGGCAAATCTCAAATAAATCAGCTCTTCCAGGGTCCCAGTGGAACATGGCTTGAGGAATTCCTCTGCCCACAGCAGTTTGGTGGCTTCGTGGGTCAATATTTCTCAAAGACATCCCTCAGCACTTACTGTGAAACCTTGGGTCAGGGACCTAACCCCTCTGTGCCTCAGTTTCTTCATCTGTAAAATAGAGGGAGTCATGCGCTTGCCTCCTGGGCTTACTGCACAGAGTACGTGACTGTACGTGCACAAATTTCTTCTAAGGATACTTGGCAGAGGGAGCCATAGGGTCTAACTCCAACAATAATGCCCTTATTATGGTAGCCACAAACTGTGTGCAGGCCTCATTTATGTCACTTAGAGTTTTCAGTTATAGGCAAATTAGTGAAAGAAGAATCTCCTTCCACCCAATGACCCAGCACACACATGTGTTTTTCCTACAGAAAGGGAAAGTGGGGCCCCAACTGGAGGGTGTGGCAGGATGAAATGGGCCTTGGAGGGTCTACCCAGGTCAAACTTTCAGAGAAGATCTGCAACAGACACGGTCAGACCCAGCGAGCGGATGAAACAATCACTGTCCAAACAAAAGAAGCACCGCTGCCAATCCCACACTTACTTCCAGGACTGTCCATTGTTCGACAACAATAGCATCATAGGCCTGCATGGTTTTGCTATCTTCTGTGGAAACAGCTTCAAAGATGAATACTCCATCTGTCAGGCTGTGTAAGGAATCTGTGGAAAAAGAAAAAGGCGGGGGGGGGGTGTGGGGGGGGAGAGTTCTGTAAACCGTCTGTGGCAGAAGCCTTACAAGCAGCGAAAATTTTCACTGCATTCATTAATAATCCCAATCAGAACATCTTTTCAGCATGTTAATTAAAGAAGGCACACACAGCCATAGAGTCTAGCCCCATCAGAATGAATGAGACTAATTTACCTCGCAGTTTTGAATAATATCCTTGATTTTATGAGCCCAAATTTCATTGTTAGCAATCACCATTTGATTTCACGCTTTACCTTCTTCTTCACGCTCCAGCGTCAGGATGCACTGGGTGAACTTATTCAGGGTAAAACACAGTCATTTAGAGACAGTTTTTAGAAGAAAACTATATTTAGGTGAAAGGATTTTTTTTAAAGGGGGAGAGATAGAACACACCTGATCTGAGCTTGGCGGATGCATTCTATATGCGCTCATTCTTGGGAGTTCCTCACGATGTGGGCAGCTGAACAGACAACACTTTAGCTAGCTCTTGTCAAGAGGCAGAATTTGAGGGAAAGGGGAATTTTCACAAAGGATTTACCACTGAAAATGTTTCCTCGGGCATTGCTCTGGTCGGTATCCCAGGGTCTGAGTTCCATACAATTCCACAAAAGTATTAAACAGATAACAAGATTCAAGAAGGATTCATGGTCTTACACAATGAGAGTATAAAGAGAATAACAAGGTCCCTACCACAGCAGGAATCATTAAGGTAGGTGCTATCTGCCCCTTCCTTTTTCTTAATGGCTCCTAAATGCCCTAAATTCATTTAGATAAGAGACTGTGGGAAAGAGGTCTTGGAGAGAGAAGCAGGTGGCTTGGATCCATGCCCTATCATGAGAAGTGATGTGACCCCTTTCAGAGGTTTGGTCTCTCGTCTGTGAAATGGGATTATGGATATAGAATGACTCCTGGACCCTAGATTCTGTTCAACAAAATCAATCACGCTGCTATGTACTGAACTGTATCTCTCCTCACCCCAAATTCATATTCAAAGCACTAACTTCCAAAGTGACTATATTTGGAGATAGGGCCACTAAGACAGTTAATGAAAGTTAAATGAGGTCATCAGGGTGTGCCCTAATCTGATAAGGCTGATGTCCTTACCAGAAGAGGAAGACACCAGTGTGCCTTCCTCCCTTCTCCTTGCAGGGAGGAGAGGGAGGAGAGGGAGGAGACACATTAGGCTGTCTACACATTAGGAAGATATGCCCAACCAAAAACTGAATTAGGTTCAGTTTAAATGTGCTTAGCCAGCACCTTAGCTGTGGACATCTAGCCTTCTGAACCATGAGAAATAAATGTCTATTGTCTAAGCCATCCAGTCTGTGGTATTTTATTATGGCAATACACGCAGAAATATATTTAATGATATACTATTTTTATTTTAAAAGAATAATTCACATAATAATACGATTTTTTGAAATTTTATTTTATCAGAAAGGGAGGTAAATTCAGAAAATCCTTTGAATCACACTGGAGTTCAGGAACTGCCAGCATTTTCAAGAAGCCACAAAAAAAACCAAGACTGGCAGATGTAAATACTTAACAAATATTTAGCTTCTGTCTTCCAGTAGACATCATAAACAAAATCGAAAGGCCATTAAGTGAGAAAATTATTTGCAACAAAAAAGATAAATAAATAAATGGTTATGCTTAACATTCTTTATATGTGTATAAAAAGCTTACGGTGCTTAAGGGAATTTTAACTGCACGATCTTTCTGGAGAGCGATTTCACAAGGTCTCAAGAGCCTAAAACAGAAAAGTCCATCCTCTTTGACCCAGAAATCTTACCTCTTTCAGTCTATTTTACGATAATAACCACTAAAGCCATCAAATATTTATCTACAAGAAATACTTATAAAATTACTTGAAAACATAATCTAGGGGCTCCTGGGTGGCTCGGCTAGTTAAGTGTCTGACTGTTGGTTTCAGCTCAGGTCATGATCCCAGAGTTCTGAGATCAAGCCCCATGTCAGGCTCCATTCTCAGCATAGAGTCTGACTGAGATTCTCTCTCTCTCTTCCTCTGCCCCTCCCACTCATGTGCTTTATCTAAAATTTAAAAAAATGTTTAATTTAAAAAACATAATCTAAATGCTCAACAATGCAAATATTAAACCATAGACAAATAGTTAAGTAAGGCAGGAGACTTCCATACAATTAAATACTATGTGGTCACAAAAGAATCATGGGAATTTAATGATTCAGAAAAATCCTTAGAGACAATGTTATAAAGAAAAAAAAAACAGGATACAAGACTACAGTATGAGCCGTATGTGAATTTTTATGTTAAAAAGGGTTAGACAAACTTTAAAGGAACACATAAAATCTAGTAGCAGGTATGAGTGGCAGGCTGAAGTATAATTTTAATTTTTTTAATCCTTTTCTACAAGGTGAAGCAAGAGGTAACACAAGCATAATACAAGTAACAGATAACACCACACACACACACACACAGTAATTTTCTTTTTCTGTCCTCCACATGGCTCTTGAAGACAGAACTATGATCAAAAAGTTTTAGGAACTACGGGGAGAGAATTTTAGTACAATATAAGTAGAACCTTCCTTAGGGTAGTCTAAAAACTGGTAGATAAAACTCAGAAGAGTGAGCACTGTGTTACTGGAAGAATTCAAACTTATACTGAAAACCTTTCTAGCAGCTCATTCATTCATTCCAATGCTTACCTAGCATCAATCTCATGTAAGATACTCCTGTGGTCACCGGAGATCTTGCAGGCAGAAGGACAAATGAAGTCTATGCCCCACAGAGCTTACCTTGCAGTGAGGGAGGGAGTCAATAACATAATGTCAGAGATAATAAAGGCTATAAAAATATAAAGTAGGCTAAGGGGAGAGAGTGAAAGTGGAGCTATTTCACTGTGGTTGGCTTTTTTTGGAAGAGGTGTCCAGGGCATGTCTCTCCTTTTGAGTAGCAATAGGAATTTAATTAAGCAAGGAAGCCTTATGGATCTTTAGGGTTTGAGAGTTCTGGGTAGAGGACAGAGCTGGAGTAGTAGAAAGGCACAGTGAATGAGGAGCAGCCAAGGACCACAAGAATGGTGAAATCATAAGAGAAGAAAGTCAAGACTAAGAGAACTGATGGGGAGACCAGACAACTTGGGACTTATCCATGTGACTTGTCTGGCCAATGGCATATTAGCAGGTATGATGCAACAGGTGCTTGGCAGGCACTTGTGTGGTTGAGCTTAACCTCTTCTATCTTTGCCACCACTTTGAGAGGACATGCTCAGCTAGCCCATTGGTTCCAAGAAGCTGAAAGACACATGGAACAGAGCTGCCCCAGTGGATCTCAACTGAGACCAGCTGACCCACAAACCTGAGAGTGAGCCCAACTGAGGTCAGCAGAAATGCTTCATGGGGTTGCTTGGGCCAACCCACAAATACTCGAGAATAAATTATTACTGTTTTAAGACAATGATGCTGGAGTGGTTTGTTACACAGCATTATTATGGCAATAGTGACTGATACAATGTCCAACCTAAACCTAAGAAAGATGAGACTGGTGTACTTTTGGTTGGCTTGGGGGTATTCTTGATTATTTCAGAATGACAGAAAGGCCTGGCCAGCTCAAAAAACCACAGCTATGAGAGTCATTCCTGTAGCACAGTAGCATTATCCAGATACTATTCCAATCTGAGAAGATAATACTCCATTTCAAGTAAGATCAATGTAAGTTAATCAACACCATGCTCCGGTTTCTCCTTTGTTCCCTAAACTGAGAGTCTGTTATTAAACAGCTTTGGCAAAAGTACTAAGCTTGCCTCTCTTATCTGCTCTATTATAAAGTTTTCTCCAAGTGTTTGCTTGATTCCCTCCTGAGAGATATTTTACAGAGGTAACCAGGGAAGAATAGGGCTGCTTTTCAGCTGAATCACATTACAAGTATTTGGGGCTTCAGGGTAAGATGGACCAGAGTCAAGCTGATTTTTAAAGTTCTGAGTAACAAAGATCTAGCTGGAGCTCCTGGCACAGTAGGAATGCCCTAGAGAATTGCTTTGAATAAAGCTTCCCAAGTCCTGACCTGGGGATTCTCAAGACCAGAAGGGACTCAATGATTCCATCAGGATTATACTAACACACCACAAATTCCCACAAGCCTTCTACCAAAAGAGTTTATCTCCAATTTCCAAAGTCTTTACGTACAAATCTCAATTGAAAACCTGCAAGCCCTTAAAATGTGCCTACCATGCGCTTGACTTACTAAAGAACCTGATCTGACATAACCATGATGATGTGTATTTAGCCTGCCAAGAGCACTGTATGGCTGAGCTGGAGTCCAGAAGGAGGAAGAAGACACTGCCAGTCAGCCAGACTTTCCCTCCTTCCTCCCAGGTCACAGGCCCAGAAGGAGGACTGTGTGGTCAGTGGGAAGAGGTACGGCCAGACCTAGGTTGTGAAGTAGGTATAAACCAGGTCCTTGTTCATACCACCTCATCCACTGTCTGCTTTCCAGCTCTCAGCCAGCTACTCTGCGATTCTGAATACAGAATGCTGATTCACTTAACTATGAAGCAAGTTCAGAATGGCTGTCAAAATTTGATCATCTGTAACAGCAAAAAGGTCAATGAACCACAGAGAGCAGACAGCTGGGCTTTTAAAGAGCCCCTTGTTTTGACGGCCTCGTCCACTCCCCATCTTCTCATTACCTTCTTGGCTTAGACTTGCTGCAATGTGTGTCGGGCTAGGTATAAATAGGTCTAGCTTAGAGTGAAGGCTCCCAATGTAAAAGGTTAAATTGCCCTACATCTAAGGAAAACACTCCATTATCACTGCATTTTTTATTAAAGTAAAGATGCTTCCCTACTGTGCACAGAGAGCTATTTGCCCTGATATTGTATAAATATTTGATGCCAGTCTTTTGGCAAAAGGCCACCTTAACATTCCAAGCTTATGATTTACAAGAAGGATGTGCGAAATGGAGATTTGCCCTATTATTCCAAGAGATAAATTC